GGGGGGGGGGGGGGGGGGCGGGATCACATACATTCATTATTTTTTTTGAGGGATCACCATACCACACAGATTGAGAAACCCTGCTCTAGACTACTTCTGATTTAACGTTCACCTTGCAGAAGAAAACATTGCTTTGTTTCACAGATTCTTCGTTTGCATAATCCAATGCAGTATTCAGTCATGGCCTCCTTTCTTTGCTCACCTCCATCAGCACTGAAAGGGATGTAATTGGTTTTGAGCATATTACCCCTTTTCTTTTTACAAAGACAGAAAGCAATGCAGCGTACTCCCCTGACTCAGACATAACAACAATAACCTCCGCAAGCAATACTTACAAATGGTAGGCTGTAAATGCAGGAGTGAAAAGGACTCTCCTGTAATCACAGTGCAAGGCACAAGAAGCTCATACATAAACTAAAGCATTAAGGTTATTTACCCAAAAGCAAGAGACAGCAAAAACAGGCAGGGGATTGTTTTCAGAGATACCGGCAGACCATTTCAGGCCAGCTGAATATGGTCCAGTCCAATGAATATGGAATCCTTAGTCATCTGATGTAGAAATCTTGTTATCTGAAACACTAACATTAGATATTTCTTGAAGTTGGTGTTTCTACTGCAGATATATTTAGATTTTCCTGTATTAAAATCTCATAACTAGTAAATTGTTTTCTCTTTTTATAACTGGTAGATTTTTTTCTCTTCCTACCCAGTCAGCACATAAGTTGTATTTGAAACAGAAAATGGGTTGAATTAATGCACTGAACATAATATGATAATAATTGTGACAACAGTAGAAGCAAGCAACATAACTATCCTCCTATGCCTGTTAATTTCTCACCATTTTAAGCTTTAATATCAGAGTATGAAGGAATGTAGACCTGACCTTGGGAATGGGAATGGAATGAAGAAACTGTTAAGGAGGAGACTTTCTCAGGCCTAAGAAAGAGAAAAATGATTGATTTTGTTTGATACAAGATGAGGCAGAGAGAAACTCTGACAGGCTTTCTAGATTCTGTTATTTTGTTCTTCATCAGTAAAAAACATTCCCAGAATTACTTCCATGCCTGACTCTTGACCTTGCCTACCTTGAAGGGCTGACATCAATCTTGAAAGCCTCACTACTCTCTCATTAGAGAGTCATTGAACCTTGCCTTCTAGACCTAGAATATGGTGACAGATCCTTGTTGTTTGCAGAACAATTTGCAAAGCATTATTATAGCATCAGCTGCAGATGAATAAACGTAACAAACCTGCACAATGCCATGATACACTTAGCATAGCAGCTGGGACAAGGCTTTGCTCCTCAGCATTGTCTTATTCTCCTAGAAGTCTACTGGAGAAGTTGGGTGTGGTGGGGTCTCAAGACCAATCCATGACATTCACAATAGTGTGAATTGTTTATAGTAGGCCGACCAGTAGAATTTCCTACAGATCACAAGAGGGGCTGAAAGAATGGGCAGCCAGATGAGCAGTGTCCCTCACAGAGGGCAATGATCCATTGTTGGATAATTACTAGAACTTAATGCAAAGTTTTAGAGCTGCTTTTGACATCTGTCCAGGAGATGTCAAATCTGGGAGATCTGCAAGCTAAACCAAGGAAATTGCCAGATTCATGAGTACACATTCATGAGTGCTGATTTTCAGTGGTATGCCAGAGACATGCATTGGAATGATGTTGCCCTGATTGATCAGTATCAGAAAGGAATACTTCCTGATGAATTGAAGGATGAATTAGTAAGACAAAGCATACCAGAGGATTTGGAAAAAACTGAGGTATTGAAGAAATAACAGGAGAGGAGGTTTTACATTTACCACTTTTGTGGTAGTAGATTTGTTTACTAACATGACTCATTTTATCCCTTGCAAGGGACTACCATCAGCTCAGGAGACTGCACAAGTCTTTCTAGATCATGTTTTTCAGTACAGGAGATTCGTCAATTGTGTGATTTCAGATTGTGGCTCTCAATTTACATCCAAGTTTTGAAAGCCCTTTTCCAATTACTGGACATTTGCAATCATTTGTCATCCTCTCATCAAATCTAATGGACAATTGGAGAAGATGAATGCATTACTCGAACAGTATTTACATGGCTCTGTCCCTTATCAGCAGGACATTTGGATGGATTTATTGCCACTTGCAGAACTTGCCAGTAACAATTTGCCACATTCTTCCATTGACATGTCTCTCCTTCAAGCAGTCTATGGCTACCACCCCCCACATCGTGCCCTCCAGAGCTCATTCCTCTACTGTTCCTTAACCCTTTGACTTTCTGCAGGAGAGACAGGATGTCCAGTTCCTCTCAAATTAACAGTTAGATTTAGCCAACCCTGTATGCAAACATGCAGCATAGGCAAGTCATCACCAAGATTGTGGTGGGAGATTTGGTGTGTCACTCCCCTAAGTTTTTGCTTTTCTCCTGGCCATCTAAGAAACTAGTTTCAGTTTATTGGCTTTTCCCCTGTTACACAATAAATTAGCTCAATGGTCTTCCATCTGCAATTGTCTACTTCAATGAAGATTCATCCATTATTTCACCAGTCGTTCCTTTTTCAAGAGGAGCCACTCTGTCCCTTGCATTCTGCACCTGTTCATCCCCAGTTCTTGTGGATGGGGAAGAAGAATAAGAGGCGGAATGTAATCTGGGTCTTCAATGCAAGATGGAACATTTAGAATATCTTATTCACTGAAAGGGCTATCCTGAGGTGTACGCCACATCTGAAGTTCCACACAAGCCCCATCCCCTTGAACTGCTACCAGTACTGACAGATGAGTCCCAGGACAAAGGAGACTCTTTGCTTCTTTCCATGTTGGACCCTCCAATGGCAGTTGCCATGCAACAGGAAGGGGGGAGGCACTTTCCAACTCCATCTAGCTGTTCTCTTTCACACTTGTCCACTGACCTTGGTGAGATGCTGGGCCATCTGCAAATGAAGGAGGGGGGTGATTCTGAGGGAAGAGGTGGTGTGAAGGAATGTAGATCTGGCCTTGGGAAAGGGGAAGGAATGAGTGGACCATTAAGGGGGGAGGTTCAGAAAAGATTACTCAGTCCTGAGAAAAAGGAAAGCACAAGAAAGAAACATAAAATAACCCCACCTTGATTTTGCTTGGTGTAAAGTGGGGCAGACAGAAATTCTGACAGGTTTTCAAGATTCTATTATTCGATCTTACAATAGTAAAGAACATTCTAAGAAACCCAACCATGCCTGTTTCTTGATCTTGCTTTCTTCAAAGAGCTGATACAGGTTTTTGAAAGAGATGTTTAAACAGTTTTTGAGGGCAATAAACTTCCTCAGTTTTGTCATCTAAGAGTGTGAATGCTCATGTCACCTATTAAAAAAATTAAACACACATATGCATATATATTATTTATGGGGTTGCCAGTGGCAGAAAAGCTACATTCTTCTCCTTCAATTATGTCTGTTTGTAAACATTCATGTTTAGGCAATATGTGAGAAGCTCCACAAGTGTTTCATGTTACCAACAAGTGTTTCATGGTACAAACAGATAAATGTCCCACCGTTGTTCTAAACTCTTAGTTCCAACACTGGAAAACATATCTGCACTTGTAAAAATACAGAAAGCAGTACGCTTCTCCCTTTGTCCCAAGGAAATCTCTCCCCAGCCATGACATCTGGATGGTAAACTTCATATACATAGAATGAACTCTTCCAGAATAATTCCACAGTGTAAATTATGGCTGGGGCAAGTATCAACTATGGCACAGATGATTTTCTAAAATTCAGATCCTGCCATTAGCTGTCCCCATTCTCAGTTTATACCAATGGTTCCATACAGCCTTTGTTTGTCACTAATACATGAATTATTAATGGCCAAAGCTTTGAAAACACAAGTACAAGCAGATGCTTATCCTAGTGTGTGCCTTCTTTTTGGTATCTTCTCGGAAATCCAACTATATCCTTACAGTATGTTTGCTTGCTAACCATCTGGATTTTGTACCAGATTTGCTAAAGAGGCCAGCCTCCTGAGCTGCTCTCAATATGTAATGTCTCATCTCTGCTTTTCTTGATTGGTTAAAAAGTCTGCAACGGAAAGTTTGCAAAGGAAACATTATGAAGAAGGAAACAAATGTTGCTGAGCCTGCTAGATTACAAGATCTACAGCAACATTTCCATTAGCACACTGCATAGAAATTATTGGTTCTTATTAAGAAATGTGTTAATTATGTCTCTTGTATGAACTAGTTTACTTTGGCTGCAAAGCTATACATATTTACCTTGAAGTATCACTTCTGGCACTTGGAAGATTGTACCACATAACTCTGAAAGCATCCCAGCAACAAACTACAATACAAATAATTAGACTACTTACCTTGGGAGGGAATATTACAGAATATTTAGGTATAGCCAAAATATGAGAGTCATTCCCACAAACATTTAAAGACTGTGCAAAGTCACCGATGTAGAAATTAACCAAATCCTTATTATTTCCTTTTATGAATTATGTTATGTAAAAAATTATCAAATGGCATCTCTAAATCCCAATTCATTAGTGCATATCTGCAGCTTGCCTTTTTATTTTAATAAGACATGTAAATAACAAGAACAATTGAAAAAGAGTTTATAACCCAACTGCACAGATTAACAGCTTCTAAGACAGCAAATCATAACTAGCTCAAACAGCCAAGCCCTGGCTGAGCTGCCATTACATTGCCTGAATCTGTCCTGAATCCAGCCCAAAAGACAACGGTGGGCATTTTGGAACTTCCACTGGATTCAGCGCATTGCAAATGATCATCACTCTCAGCCTTGACTAATTTTGTGCCAACATTTTGAGTTATTTCCCTAGTCTGGAATACCACAGAATTGTACATCCTCTTTGCTGTACTCATTATCTGCCTTTTTCTGCCTCTGCAGGCACCTCAGAATGATTTCAACTGATAGATTGTAAATGTACTTAGTTTACGTTGGAGGATTAAATAATGGAAAGGATGGACAATGTGGCTCACTGCTTGCATTAGCTGCTTAGAATATACATTTTACAAAAGAGTTAAACAGCCACAATGGGCTTACTAGAGGAGGAAGGAAAGGCCCAGACAGATGGATAAACAGTTAGATAAAGGCTGGATCAATTGGTCCATCTGTCCATCCATCCAAAGCATCAGTACTTTTAGATTTCACATATAAGACATGTGTTAACATCTATAAAAGCTCTGCTGGTCAGCAATATTGCCAGATCATTACCATAGGATGGGGCAGGCTTCCCAAGCTGGCACTTTCAGATACATTGCACCTGCAGTTTCAAGAATTTCTTACCATCATGGGCAATCGGCAGCCTATGTGTCTCATTATTATTGAGAAATCACCTTTCCCCCCCTTTAATAGAGACACCTGAACCTCAAAGACAAAACTCTCCAGCTACTTATAGTAGAATAATATTCTTTGACTCAGAGAAGCTCCCATGATGTCCTTTTGCCCTGCCAAGCTTTTTCTGGCAGAGTAGAAGGAGATATGTTCACATTCTTCTTGCCACTCCCAGATTTTCAAGGATTTTCTCTATGCCAGTTTTGCTAGAACTTCTATGCAAATCAAGGGATGTTTGAGTCTGCGCTTGCCAGAACTATGTTAGATTTAGTGCATCCCTGGATCCTTTCCCAGAATGTTTTTTTTAATCCTTCCCATTGTTAGAATGTTGGCCTCAGATGCTTCAAGAGGATCTGAGGAATTTGTTTTCTATGTTGGGTTCCCATTCTTTAAAACTGGAGCACTTTTCCCAACTTTGGAGGAGAAATCTGAACCCCTTGGATACCATCAGAGGATTGCAGCCTCAGTTTTCCAATATTTCTTTCTGAAACAAATATGAATGTTTGCTAAATGTAAAGCAAGCCACCAAATATTATTGCTAATCATTTTAAAGGAATTGAGAGTAAAAATACTTTATTCATTTATTATATTTGTATGCCACCATAATAAAAAATTGCCTTCTAGCAGTTTACAATATAAAATAAAACTATAAAAGCGTATAATAAGTATTAAAAAAAATAAGCAATCATTTGTGACTAACCACAATCTCAAGAGCAGCAATTAAGTAATTCTCAGAAGCCTATAGAAAAGCTCCATTTTCACAGTTTTATGAAAGGCATCATGGGAGATGCCTGGAAGGGGGCTGTTCCATAAGGAGGGGGAGTGGAGGTGCTACAGAAAAATTTAGTCTCCAGGCTCCCATCCCCTCACCAAACAAATGTGGGGGGCCTTGAGCTTCCCCATCTGAGATGAGAATTGTTCCAGATAGAGGAGGCAGTCCTAAAGATACCTTGGAGCCCAGCCATGGATGATGATGATGATGATGATGATGATGATGATGATGATGATGATGATTGCCACACATTCAAGCAGACTCTGGGCAGCTTACAAAATCCCAAAGCAGTAAAAACAGTTAAAAATTAAAACAAGGCAGACAACCCAGACTAAAACAAGTAATAAATTCACATAAAGTGAGGGAGGAGGGAAGCACATTCAGACTTGCAAGATTCTGTTACCTTAATCGTTCTAATAAAACTAGTTTTAGACCAATATGGCACTGTTTTCTTAGTCTGGTCTACGCTATTGGGCTGACAGATATAAAGCTGGGCAGGTGTGATCTCCCCCCCACATCAACACCAACTGAGTCTGACCACTTAGGGAGGAGGTAAGCCACTGTAACACAGTACCTCTCACTCCCAATCCCACAGCCAGTCCAGAAGGATACCATGGTCAATGCTATCGAAAGCTACTGAGAGATCAAGAAGCACAAGCATAGACCCACCACCCCTATCCCAGCTCCACCAAAGGCCATCAACAAGAGCAATAAATGCCATCTCCATACTATACCCCAACCTGAAACCTGACTGAAACAGTGCAGGTGTAGGGCTTAGATCAATCCCAGTACTTTGAAATGTGCCTGGAAACCTATAGGAAGCCAGTATAGCATCTGCAAGATAGGTGTTATATGGCTGTAGCAATTGCAGCAACTGTATTTTCTAAGTAGTTTTCTTCAAAGGCAGGCTATAGTGCAAGGCTATAGTCTAATCTTGTAGTGATTATGACATGTGTTACCATTGCCAAGGCCTCCTGATCCAGACAGGGCCATAACTGGCACACCAACCAAAGTTGGGTGAAAGCTTCTTTGGCTACAGTCTCCACTTACCAATTCAACAGTATCAGTAAGTCCAAGAGAACCCTACATTTGTGGACTTGCTCCTGCAGGGGGAGTGACATTCCATCCACCATTAAAACCACAGCAGAAAGCCAGATATTTCTGGACAAACACCAATTCTATCTTGCTAGAGTTCACCTTCAAACTCTTTTAACCCATCCAGACCTGCACAGCCTCCAAACATTAGCTCAAGACCTCCACGGCATCAGTATCTATATCCCAGAGATATACAGCTAGTAACACTTTGCCAAAATATAATCTGCCCATAAAGTACAGAAACATCTAGTGAGAGCCTGTTGAGCCCCACTCCCTTGTAAAGGACATTGGCTGAGGGTCAGCTGACAGGTCTTCTTAATGGTGGCCTCCAATCAATAGAACACATTACTCTCAGAAGAAGTGGTTCCAACCCTCCTTGCTCCAAAAGCAAATTAAATTGGTACTATTCTATGAGGCTTTCAGCCGCTAGTTGTGTTTGAGTGGCCATCACAATCTTCTTATTGCTGACTGTTTTAATTGTATATTGGAATTGTTGCTGCCAACTTGAGTCCATATGGATTGGGCAGACTTTAAATACTGTTAATAAATAAATGATGATGCCTGAACCTGAAGTGACCTCTCTCAGTTGTTTCATGTAGTTGTGAAACAACCAGAAAGAACCAAACTCTGTAGTAGTGCCCATTACATTGACCTATCTTCTTTTCTCCACTGACTGGAACCATCTACCATGGTAGATGATACAGAATGCTACTAAAAGGTTAAATGAGACCAAAAGGGGCACATTCCCCCCATCCAGGTCCCAACAGTCAACCACAAGAGTAGTCAATGCTGTTTCCATCCCTCACTGAGGTCTGACTGAAAGGGGTCCAGTTAACCTGCTTCCACTAGGGTACTAATTAACTGACACCCAACCATTTTCTGAAGAAACTATCTCTAGATTGGAAGCTTGGATGCAGGGGGACAATTGTCCAATATATCTCAATCTAGAAAAAGCCTCAACCCTCTTTTCCATATTTTTTACAAGAGAAAAAGGAAGATAGGTCCTTCATGTTTCTTTGTACTGATGGGTAGCTAGCTGCTGCAGTGTTCACAGGAATAGGAAGCTAAGATTATTATTCAACTATGGCCAATATCTAGAGAAAGAAACTAGAAAGAGGAAGGAGACCCTGTGATCAGTGAAAGGTACTGAGTGATCACAGCAGTAATATGAAACTGATTAAAGGCTTTCTTGGTTGTTCCCTTTCTTCTAGCTGGGAAACCAGAGAGAGAGAGAAAGATTTAAAAGTACCACCAGACTGCATATCCTTCTGAAACAGTGTAATCCTATTCAGAACAGGCAGGTCTATCACCTTCGTAATTAGGGCCATAACAAGCACCTTCATCTTATCTGGATTCAATTTTAATTTATTATCTCTCATTCAGCCCATTACTGACTGCAGGCAAGTATTCAGAGGAGCCACATTACTGCACAGAAAAATAGATTGGATATCATTAGCATACTGAAAGCACCCAATTCCAAATCTCCTGATCCCTCTCGGTGGTTTCATGCAGATATTGAAATGCTTTGGGCATAGAATAATTGCTCCCATTTTGAAGAAAAACTGTCTCCAAGTAATATAATCAGAACTCTACCTGACAGATAGGAACAGAACTACTGCAAAGTTGTGCCCTCATTCCTGAATCTCTGAGTTGCTCCAGAAGGATACCCTGGTCAAAAGCCATTGACCAGATCAAGAAGAACCAATGGAGTCACATTCCCTCCCTCAATTCTCAGACAAAAATAATATCTTAGGCCAGCCAAAGCAGTTTCAGCCCTCTAGCTTATCCTGAAACCCTTCTTAGATTTTTCAGACTAATCTGCTTCTTCCAGGACTGAGAAGCATCACTCTTTCGGTCATTTTGCCTAATCATGGGAGGTTACCAGCTGGCCTTTAATTGCTCATCTCTGTTTGATCCATGGCAAGCTTCTTAAGAAGGAGCCTAATACCTGTCTTTTTTCAATAAGGAGTCATTCTGCATTTTCTCAAGAAAGTGAATCAACTTTTTGGACAAAAAAAAAATTGTATCATCAAAAAATTAAAATATTTATATTTAAGAAAGGAAGGAAGGAAGGAAGGAAGAAAGAACGAACCTTTTTACAGACAGTAACACTGAAGCTGCAATCAAAACCACTCTAAGTATCCACGTATATGTCAAACCAAACCCAGAACAAATAGAAATTAAACCTCAAGTTCATCTGCACCAGTTTTGCTTCCTTTTTCTAACACGGAAGAAAAATAAGAAAGTTCCACACACCCCCAAAAAAGAAGTTCAAATTTTATTTTTGATGTTCCTCATCTAGAACATTCTTCTCATTGCACAATCCATTGGATTACATACAGATATTTCACAGCAGTAACAACCATTTCAGACTCTCAAACTCTCACAGAGCTGTTAAAAACTGTTAAGAGGATGTTTTTCCTGACAGTTCTATCAATGTGGCTTCTTGTGTTTAATCAAGATCAAATAGTGACTTCTTACACATTTGACAACTGTGAGGTCCATGAAATCTTTCAAAACAAAACCAAAGTTCTGTGCTACAATCGGCATTTGTCAGAAGTCCCAACCTATCTACCAACCAAACTTGTATTTTTGGATTTATCTCAGAACAGTATCCCAAGCCTGAGGAAGAATGACTTCAAGAACTTCAACTACTTGCAAGCTCTCAACATTTCCCAGAATAAAATACGGAAAATTGAAGATGGTGTTTTCATTCACACAAGCCACTTGGAATTTTTGAATCTTACTGCAAATCAGCTGCAATGTCTCTCCAGCTCTATGTTTGATGGGCTCATGAATCTTACCACCTTACTGCTTGCCAGCAATAAAATATACAGGATTGATCCTTCTGCCTTTGCCAACTTGGGGAAATTAAAGGTAATCGATTTATCTTCAAACAGATTGTATACCCTGAATGCTATGCATGCTGTCTTTAACGTGGAATCTTTAAAAGAGTTGCACATCAAAGACAATCACTTGCAGGACTTCTCAACCAAAGATATTATTAGTGCACCTCCATTGCTTCATGAGCTAGATGTATCCTATAACCCAATTTTCCTCATTAATATTACAACTCCAGTTTTGCACAGCCTTATTTCACTTGATTTATCATTTTCCAGTGCCAGTGCCTCTATTTTATGGGAAATAGAAGATCCTTGTTTTCTACAAGGCTTAAAGGCATTATATTTAGGAGGGATAGCAATGAAGCCACCTGAAATATCAAAAGTGATCCAAATGCTGAATTGTTCTCAGTTAGAGATTATCCACCTAAACCAGTTAAACATAACCGAGTCAGATAATCTTATTGAAGAGGTATGCCAATGGCAACAGCATGTACAAAGTCTTAACTTTCAAGGCAATATGTTCACAAGTGTTAAGGCAGGGGCTTTTGAAAATTGCACAAATTTAAAGTTTTTGAATATGTCATTTAACAGGTTGAAAAGCCTACCAATGACATCCTTTCAATCACTGAATTTGTTACATTTCATTTCTCTGTCAAACAACATATCCACTCCTGTACCAATTACTACTCCTAATGTATCATTATTAGAAAGCCTAGATCTTTGCTTTAACAAAATCCATAACATTTCCTCTGATGGCTTCAGACATTTAAATAATTTAAAGACCTTCTACATCAATGGAAACCACATCACTTCTGTCCATTCACATAACTTTGGTAATCTAAACAAACTACAAGAACTAAATCTAGGGCAAAATGGTTTAAGGACAATCAAGCAACCTTTCTCAGGAAGCTTAAATAAATTGGAAGTGTTGGTGCTAAGGCAAAATAAGTTGAATATTATAAAGAAAGGTGTTTTTAAGAATCTTTCTTCCCTTCGGTTTCTTAATCTGGCAGACAATCAGATTGCTGCAATAGAATCAGGAGCTTTTGAAGGTCTGAGCAATCTACAGACTCTTATTCTCGGACACAACAAGATCACTGAACATACTTTTCATGAAGAGACTTTTCAAGGGGCAAGCTCTTTAACAGACCTTGATCTTTTTAATAATTATATTAGCTATGAATCCTCAGATGTGCTTACCAACCCACCCTTTAAACTTCTGAGGTCTTTAAACAAACTAAAGATAAACAGCCAGGGTCATGATGGACTTAAGAATTTTCCAGTAAATCTTTTAGAGGGTTTGGAGTCCCTTGTACAGATCCATGCAGGCAATTTGGCAATCTCTTCTTTAGAACCAATGACATTTAGCTTTACTCCTACTCTTCAAGAGCTTGATTTGAGCAACAATAAACTTAATTCAATAAGCAGTATGTTATTTGGGCCTGTATCAAGACTGAAAGAATTGCACCTGAATAGAAATGGGCTAAATTCTCTCAGTTTTTTTCTCCATGCCAACCTTTCAAGACTGACTCTCTTCAGAGCAACTGGAAATCTGATAAGTGTTATCACTGAAGAGCAAATAAACACTTTAACTTCCCTTCTTTTCCTAGATCTCAGGCAAAATCCTTTCACCTGTACATGTAGTAACCAAATGTTCCTCCAGTGGTCATTACAGAATCCTAAAACTCAGGTGCTCCATTTCTGTCAGTACACTTGTGCTTTCCCACAAAAACATAGGGGAGACCAACTGTGGACTTTTAAAACATCTTCTTGCTTTATTGATTGTGAGTTTATCCTGTATATTGCAAACACAACAGCAGTTCTTTCACTTATGCTTGTCTGCTTCTTTTATCAATGGAAATTGCACATGATCTATATGTTTCATCTATTACTTGCTTACTATGTTGACAAGAAGCAAAAAAGAAAGGGGCAAGATATGGGATTTGATTATGATGCATTTCTTTCCTACAACACCCATGATGAAAAGTGGGTGATGAATTACCTACTTCCAGTGCTGGAAAGCCAATATTGTTGGAAACTTTGTTTGCATCACCGAGACTTTAAACCAGGACAGCCCATCATTGAAAACATTGTAGACAGTATCTACGCTAGCAGGAAGACCATTTGTATAATAAGTCGCCACTATCTGGAAAGCGAGTGGTGCTCCAAGGAGATACAGGTAGCAAGCTTTCGCATCTTCGATGACCATAAGGATGTCCTGGTTCTTATTTTCCTGGAAGACATTCCTACTGAATATCTCTCCCCCTATCACAGAATGAGAAAACTGCTAAAGACAAAAACTTACCTCAGATGGCCCCAGGATGAGCAGGAAATTCCATTGTTTTGGCACAAGCTCAATATGGCTATGAAGACAGGAGATGGAAAAGAGGATGAAAATTCAGTTTTGGCTGTATTTGTTCCTAATGAAATTCCTCATTGAGTATAGCTACAGTATGTTTAATCAACACATCTCCTGTCTGCTATTTGTCATTGGGCCAATTGTTTCTTATGAAAATTTCCCCCCTTCATTGAGAAATAGTAAAAAACAGAACTTTAAGAAAAGTTTGTTTTCTTCATGCTTTCATGTTGAGCTTTTCATATTGATCTGTTGCTTTAATATGTATATCTGTGAACGGGAAATGTTACATCTAAAAACTAAACTTACAACCTGTTCCTAGGCATCTTTATCTAGAAATTAGTCCCACTGTGTTCAATGGGTTTTATTCCCATGAAATGTTAAATACAATTGGAGTTTTCCTGTTTTCAGCAGATTTACTGGGTGTAAATTTTATTAAAGTCAATGGCATTTACTTCTTCATCAAATAATTTTACTGAACATCTACAACAAGAGACAATACAATCCTATACTCATCTGAATTTGGGGGGAATTGGACTACAGCTAGAGAGATACAAAATAGAAAATAACAGCTAAAATGGGAATAATTATGATATCTAATTAGATGTTGAGAATTCAAGTATAAAATCATCATTATTTCTGTCCCAGAATATATTAAGGGTAATAGACAACATAGATTTAAGCTTGTAGACTCACTTGAATTTCTTTTAAATGTATACTGAGAAATAAATAGAAACCATCAATATAGTTGTCTTGGAGGAGAATTTGTTCAGGAGTTTTGAATATAATATTGATAATTATTCAGACCTATTTCTAATTTGAATTTATTAAATCAACAGAAAATTAATATTTTCAAAATATTAAATTAATATCTGCAATGCGTATGCCATCTCCATGTATGATCCCTTTCTTCAAAGAACAAAGTTGTCTGTAATGGTAATAAAGCTGTTAAATGTTGGTCAAGAGACTTTAAAGCATGTTTTTAAAAGTAAAAATGGGGTTAAACAGTGTGTTTGTGAGGTAAATTTCTCCAGCATCTTGCTACTTATTCACATATTTTGTATTTCTCTAAACTTCGTAATCTGTGTTGTTTTGAAATGATAAAATTGGCCAAGTGGAATCTTATGCAAATCATATGTAAATCATATTCCAATATGTTTTTTGGATGACTTAAAAACAATGTGAATCTTTAATTATTCTAATGCTGTATATAAAAGTGTTGTGCTGTTTCTTTTTGCATGCTTCATTCTGTTATCTTGCTTTTCTCTAGCCATACATTTATTTAATGGAAATATTCTTACAGTTTAGAGCTATAATTTGGGTGTTCATTCTGAAACTCTCAAGAGCAATTTAGTTGTCCTCATGACTCATTTTCTTGTAAACATGTACACACATAGACCTAGTTACATCTAAGGAAAGATGGATGGAAGCAAAATGGATTGTTTCTTACTGAGGATTATTAAGTATCTTATAGTTCCTGCTACAAGGAGCAGAGAAGAGAGAAGGGTAACAGATAACCAATTATTGATATTCCATGCCTGGTGCTATTCATAAGGAGGCTGGAGAACAGATAAGCACGCCATTTTTCTGTCAAATGGAGTACAATTAGTTGCAACTCAGTATTTTGTTTGGAAATACACCCACCTGTCCATAAAGAAGGCTAATAATAGCATCAGAGGGAGGTTCATGGTGGCATTACATGGGATGGTGAGGAACAAGCTTGCCAGTTTTCTTCTGTGACCAATTCCACCTCCCATGATAGTCACTTTATGATTAAGTAATCTGTTCCATGTGCATGAAAGCCATTTTGTGAGAGTTCTCATTACATGCTCCCAAATTCCAATGTGCCCCTCAACCCCAAAAGGTTGGCCTACTGAAGTGCAGGAAAAGAGAGGTGGGTGGAACTGTAAGCAATGAAGGAACACCTTTACCATTGCAATTTATCTAGCTGATTCTGTCATAATTCAGCTACCTCCAATTCTCTCCTGTACTTTAACAGGTTGATTTGACTCTGAACAACACAAAAACTTTGCTTTAACGACAGACACAAATGCAGAAGAGAATCATGATGTAATTTTAGAGAAAGAGATAAATTTATAAGTGTACTTGTAACTGCTGCTGCTGCTGATTGAAAGCCACTTCTTTGTATTTTTTTAAACTAGAATTTCTGAATGTGCTAGGTACTCTGATTAGCATATATATATTTTATGGAGATTTCCGATCTGCATGTGTTTCTTTTTCATTTGGCAATGCGGTAAATGGCCACCTTAAATTTAACCCACATTGTGCTAGGTCATTATTTGCTGAATATGCCACTATTGACTGCTTCACACAACATGTTAAACCATAAACTACAGCTGACAAACCAAAATATCTAGACCCACACAATGCTCTAAACCAAAGTCTACCAGACTTGGTTTAGTGAGATACATAAATTGGGACATACCACCTGAACCAGTTCATAAAATGTGTGTGACCAAGAGTAAATGAAAAGCAATAAAAAAGAGAAATTCCACATTTTCTCACGTCTTATGGCGGTCTCCAAACTTTCCCCATGTCAGTTCATTACTGATTCATTAATTATTCTGAAATGTGATTATAACTCTACATACAGGCTTGTTGTTGTTCAGTCGTTAAGTCATGTCTGACTCTTCGTGACCCCATGAACCGTATTGCACCAGGCCTTCCTGTCCTATACAGGCTTGTATGACATATAAAATTTGGGTTTCTCTTACATTGTGTCTTTAATTCCTCAGAAATTACTGTAGTTCTCAATCTCATTTTTATGATTTATTCTGCTGTTATTACTGCTTTTCATACTCAGATATTACTTGAATTTTAACAACTATTTGTATTTTTGAAAACAATATAGTATATTCAGTTACTTAAAATTAATGAAATATTGAACATTGTCATGTTTTTTAATTCCCTACTTGTACTCTATTTTCCCTTTCCCATTTTTTCTTTATTTTTTCCTTTTCCTTAAAAAATTTAATAAAAACATAATGAAAAAATAATAATTCCGAGATGAATATGATCCTCAAGCAAGAGCCTCAATATATGTAAAGGTTTAAATTTTTTAGCTTACTTAGAAAAGATACCTCATTTTGAATTAACACACATTTCCAACTCTGAGTAATATTGCCTTAATAAAATAAGCAAAGTCACGTGATTTTTCTTTGAGAAGGTTTTAGCAGCTTTATAGAAGGGACAGTAAGAAGGTTTTTTTAGTGATAGCAACTGTATACAGGATCAACATTAAGATTTAAACAATAATGCAGGTATCCATTAGGTGGCAGTATTATTATAGAATATTGTAAATCTAGAGCAGGAATGTGGGCCTTTTGCTCTTCCACACCATATATGGTCTACTTGGAGGCCAATAGATGGGAGACCTGTTTTTCCTGATTCTCCAAGTAGATATGAGTCAAGTTACAACAGCTTCCAAACAGCCCAAATCTCATAAAGAGCATTCATAAAAGAGAGATAGGGAGTGCTTTATGTGCTTTTTAGTTATTGATGATACATAATGATCCAAGGAATACTACAAACAAATTAACACCAAATATCTTCTGATTTAATCATGATTTTTTTTTTTTTATTAGAAACATCAACCATCCCTGAAACCTTTTTCAGATAACTCTTCACAGATATAACTGATTCTTGTGTCAGCAGTATTTTGCAACTTAAGGGAGGGTTAGTACGGGTGTGAGGCAGAAGAAGGCTCAGACATACAGGAATAAAGAACTAAAAAGCAGGCAATTTTCTGAACTACCAAAGAACGCTGTAAGAAAATAGCTTTGGAGAATAAGAGCAAACTTTTCAGAAAAAAAATAAGCAACATGGTGTGAACAAATATATCAGGTTCACAAAGCACTGCTAAATTAGAGCAGCTTCTTTACAGTCATCCATAGGAATGCATGAAAAGCATCTGCAGAAAGAAATTGTTGCATACCTATTGCAAGGGAAATCCTAAAAGGCCAGGAGCTGATCAAGAAGGGGAAGGGGATTTAATTATACTGGTCTGGATGTGCCAAACTGTAGAATGCTGTCTTAATATGTGCTAACAAAGTCAAGAGGGAAAACATCACTTCTTATGTTCAGTGCCCTCAAAGATAGTAGTGAATTAGAGATGCTAAATATAACTTGATGTGGGTGTGTTTTTAAAGCAACTAAAGTAAGACATTCATTTACTAATGAATTTTCTGTGCAATCCTATGCATCTCTATTTACAAGCAGGCTCTGAATTCAAAGGGTCTTGCTTCCAGATAAATGTGCAGACAATTTCAACCTGAGCTTCTTTGATTAAGCAGTTGACTTAACCAAGCACGCAGAGGAAAAATATATAAATGTTTATGGGAAGCAAATAAGGGAGTTTATATCTATATCTATATCTATATCTATATCTATATCTATATATCTATATCATGTATGTATACATACATACATACATACACACACACAAACACATACACACACATACCATATCTGACAAAACAAAAACAAAAGTAGCCCCTTCCACAAACATAGATGTGCTTCATTACATACACGCTCATCTCTCTGAATGATGCCCTGCATACCAATATTGGTAAACAGAATTCTGGAAAAGAACATTTTATTAAAATGATTGTTTAGATTGCTGGCAAAAAGATATGGCAAATTAAAATATCTACTTAATAATTTCTTTGTGTTTTTTTGTTAATGGTATTTAGTGCTTAGTTTAAATTATTTTTAAAAAGTGGCTTTTCACTTACAGGTTTATTCAAAAATATTTAACTCAGCAGTTGCTGCTTCACACAGCTAGATGGTTAAGAAATAATTACTGACTTTGGCCTTCTGCACATAACTGGTTAGCAGCTCTCAAGGGCACAACTTTATTCATCTGCAAGGGGACGGGTACAACTGTGAGCATGGGGAAGTAATCTTGATCAGTATGGCTGGAAGAATTCTTCTCTGTTTTGTATTTGCTGCTGAGACAGTTTGCTCGTATTCTCATCTTTTTGATGCCAAACAAGAACAGCAAACTCACCACTCCAAATAAAGAACTTCTATGCAAATATGATCCTCTTTGTGTGATAAATTCCTCCTGGATTTCTGAACAAATTGTGTCTTAACAAATTGTGTCTTAACAAATGGTTCAGTTGTATAGGACAGGTTTCCCCAAACTTAGATTCTTCAGAGGTTTTGCTTGTGTGCTGCTGACTGGGACAATACCAGGAAAAAATAAGGATGAGGGCAGGAAATCTTTCCTATTCAGGAAAGATGCTGACTCCATATAAACACTACATAATTTCTGCTTTTCTATTATTTCACAGAGACATTATTTTGAAAACCTTTTATAAACTATTTTGAAATTCTCTTGGAACTATAAAATGGGCTATAGATATCTATCTAGATACCTGCATATGTCTTCCCAAGAAGCTTGTGGAGAGCTCAAAGCCTTAGTAAATATCCATTAAGTACAGAGAGGGGGTCTTTGAGAGGACCTCAAGATATGTCATCAAATCTTGGTTTAGGGGAAAAGATATGGACCTGGCACCACAGATCGTGTACATCTTTTTTCAAAAGATTTTTTTTTAAGTCCTGCAATGCCTGCACATGTATCTTTTCACCCAAAGCATCAGAGGAAAAAAATAGAAAAATCAGACAGTGACCACCACCACACCAAAAACTGCCTTACAAGAAAAGATTAAATAGATTCCCCTTTTTGCCACTCCTCAGATCAAATTTGCAATCCCTAGTACCTACATTTTCTCTTCTAAATGTCAGGAGATTTTAACTTTAGTTACAACTGAGTAGAGCATTTTTGATACAGGTCAAGAACTAGATTGAGGCCAATTGCTTTTAAAAACTTGCAGTTGATGCAAATTGTTTGTGCTGTGTACTATATATTGTACAATTATGTATTGCTTCATTAACCAGATGCTTCCTGTTTCTTGTGTTATGAGAAACAGAGAAAAGCAGAAGGACAAAGTAACAAAACCAGGAGCTTTTTTCTTATTCTAGAACCACAGTAAATGAGAGGAAAATGAGGAAAATTCACTACAATGAATTGAACATAATTTTCTTTGCTTATAATACAAAAAAAGCTGAGAGTATGTATAGATAAATCATGGGTCAGTAAAGTAAAACAAAATGTGTATTTTGTTGAGGTGTTCCTACTAGAGGACAGAAGCCTTACTATAAAATGTGTGAACTCATAGGATGCTTTGTTCAGCTCAATCCATAAACTTACATTATTTACAACTAAGCGTGGAAAAGGTTGTTAAAAATAATTGGAGAAGTTCAATTCATCTAGGTCGTTGGTATAAATGTCAGCATGGATACAAAGAAATAAAGATGTCATATATATCAAATTTATATATAGAAAAGAACAACATTTGTATATTTCCCACCTCTTTATTCCTGATAAGGAAGTCTGCTTGACTCTGCAGATTTAGACATAACTATAATTCAAATCTATGTGTTTAAATGTGGATAATATTTTCCAGCACCCATTTGGAAGAAAGAAGCTATGAGAACGTTTGCAGGATTACACTGCTAAATTTACCCAATTGGAGAAGTTGCATCACCCTTTTCTGGGGATAAAACAAGTGCCACCTTGGGATAGTAAGATCAATCACTATAGAAGATGTTTGTCCCTTTGGACAGTCCTTAGGATGGCTTATCTCACTTGCCACCATGAGAGAAGATGTGGATTTTACAGATGAGGAATTTCTTCTTTTGCTGGTTCCATTGAATTGTTACTTGGTGGTATAGGATGTATTAAGGACATAATGAAAGTGTGGGGAATGGTCTGGGAGCAAACATTAGAGCAGTAATGAATGGGAGCAGATATGGTAGGAGGCTGCAACTTGACCATTACAAAGAAAAAAGAGTTGGCTTGTAGTTGGCTTCTCCTACTTTCAGGTTGCAGTCTAATCAAGGAATTCTAGATGAGAACAATAGTAGACTTGCCAACTTAAAAGTGCTCAACACCAGGCCAGTTCCTAGTAAAATCCCCTTATACAGAATTTAATCCTGGATGAAAGCCTTGACCTAGCATGTATTACAGGGACTTGACTGAGAGTAGAGGGGGTAGTTAATATTTTCCTGTCCCCTGGGATACTCTGTGTTGCAGCAGGCCAAGGTTGGGGGGCAGGGAGGTGTTACAGCTGTGGTTTATAGGAATTACATTTCACTGGCCAGAAGCTCTATTGAAAATCTGCCAATGTAGAATGCTTGTTGCTGTATTTGGGTGGCCAGAACATGTATGGGTTCTGTTAGTGTACTGTCCATCCCACTAAACAACACTCTCTCTTCCTTAGCTAGCCAAGGTAATCTCTCACAACCCTAGATTTCTTGTCCTGGGAGATTCATTGTCCATACCATAGTTGTTGAATTAGGAGTGGTTCCAAAGTTCATCTGATATGATGACCATAGATCTATAGTAATTGGTATCTGGCTGCGTGCATGCAGCAGGACATCTGCTGAATTTGGTATTCCGGCTGGTGATGGTGTTCTTGATGGAAGAGCTCTCTGATGTCATGCCCAGATTGCTTTCTGACCAGTTTTAGACTGCAGTTGCCGTAAGTATCTGCAGAAATGATGAGTTAGCTAACCTAAGTGCTTGATGGATCTGGAAGTTTTTTGAATGCATTTGGGGAGCTTCCAATCTGTTGTTAATACTGCTGAAGCTCTAGTTGATCTGTGGAATGTAGAAGTGGACTGGTCACTTGGCACTATCACTTCTAACCACATTCTTCCTTCCAGTAGAGCTCAATCATCAGTTTCTTGGTTTACCAAGCTGATAAGAGTGATGAAGTAGATGGGCAGAGGGTTGGAATGCAAATGGAGGAACTCTCACAGTGAATTGGTTTGAACACAAAATAGCTCCTTTCTTCATGTGGCTTGAAATCATACTGTGCAGTAGTACTCTTCTGCTCTTCTGCTTCCACTGCACCTGTACAAACAGGTCAGTGATGTTATACCACACTGGTCTATTCTCTATCAAGATGCTGGGAGAAGGGAGAAATTGACTATGAGCGTTTTTTGTTATTCTTTGTGCACGAAGTTGGTATGATTCACCTTAATTTGGACTCCAATATTGAGGTAGGCCTTAGGGAAGTAAGCCTGATAACCGCCTGTCAGGTTTAAGTGACTTCCTTTTAACTTGCAGAGCTTGAGATAGACAGTGTGTGTGGAGAAATGAGGACTGCTACTTATTTACTTGGTCCTTGCCCTTGTTGGCTGATTAAATCAGCCCAGCTGAGACTGACCCATAGTTAAGGGAGGTGATCAATGTTTCTCTGAGTGCAGGATGTATTCCTATGTACTACTAGTCATAAAAAACCCAACACCCTTTATTTAAAAAGCCATCCCTTACCCAGAAAACCTAATTATAGTCCAATCTCAAATATTCTGTTTTGAGACAAGGTGATTGAGAATGCAGTGGCCTCACAGGCTGCAGACTGCAGCTGGATAAAATTGATTTTCTCGATCTATTTCAATTGGGGTTTCATCTGGGATATGGTACTGAGGCTGATTTGGTCTGCCATATGCTGGAAACTGGATGATGGAATGCAACCCTGCTAGTTCTCCTGGACCACTCAGTATGTTTTAATACCATCAATCATAGTATCTTTGGAGGCACTGTTTTGCTGTGGTTCTAATCCCTCCTGTAAAGTCATACCCAAAAAGTAATGCTAGAACTACAATTTCTAGGTCAGCGACTTAGGCTTTGATCAGGTTTCTATTTTATCCCTACAGCTTTTAACATATACCATATTTTTCTGTTAATAAGATGCCCCCATGTATAAGACGCCCCCCACTTTTCCAACCCAAAATTAAGAAATCAGTATTTTAAAGATAAAGCAGCACACATTTTTATTTAGTAATTAGGTAACATTTACATGATACACTCAGTGGGAGCAGGTCCAAACTGTCTCTCTGCAGCTCTATTTCCATGCTCTTTTGCATAACTGATTACATTGTTTGAATTTTGAAGAGTAAGACATTCGCTTATTTTTTTATTTTCCGACATCTTTATGGGCTCAGAATGCTCTGACATTACCGGTCCCTAATGCATCTACGCGCTGCCTACAAGCTCTCCACCTCCAACAGGATGTGTTCCAATTGGTTTGTTCAGCATCAGCTGACATCAGTTAAATAAGGCTCATGATTGGAGGAAGTCTGTTTGCAGAGACAAGCTATTGGCAGTTTCACTTGTGATTGGAGGCTCGTGATTGGAGGAAGCCTGTTCGCAGAGACAAAGTATGGGCAGTTTCGCAACCGCACGGTTCTCTCCTCGGCTTACTTCCTTG